AATGCAAATAGTACTCTGGTATCACAGCGCACACTTCTCAGGATCGCGCTGTCCCCTGGCACGGCCGCTCCAGACCCGTCGCCATCTTGGAATCCCCCCAATCTATATTTTTTAAAAGCAGATTTTGAAGCCTCTTCTCTACCTCTATATGGATGAAAAAATTAATCTTTAACTCTGTCTGAACTTGCTGGGGAAAGGATAATGCCTTCTACAGATTAGCAGAGTGGCTAGCCTAGTATATATTCTTATTGAATATTATTCAGATTTGTACATTTGTCACAGTCCATTCTAGTTCCATTGCTTCGGCCTAAAACCCATCTCCCAGTGATTGCAAAAATGGTTTTATAGGATGATGGAAATTACCTTTTTGCTCTAAGAATTCAGTATTCTTCCTATGAGATAAAAGGTTGTAGGTTATACCTCTGGTGACCACACTGATTTATCATCCCAATCATGGACAGTTTTGAGAGGCAAAGAGGGTGCTAATGATACGGCCAAACAGTGTAAGTAGAGACTGTAACGGGCAAAGTAGGGCACATGGTCACCCTAGTTACACCTGTTCAGTGAACTTACTGTTAATTTTGGAATACCGGTATTAAAACATTCTGTGTTTTTCTCAAGTGCCACAGATAGATGCTAATGCATACACATGCATGCACACCCATGGGCATTCATGCCTAATAATAAAGAAATAAGGGAGATTTAGGCAGTCTGGCTAAATAATATAGGATTTTTGCTAAAGAGAATGTTATGCTTTTCCTTCAGATGTGTCCGCAGGGGCCACCTGCGGGTCTTTTAAATGCCATTAATGCTTACACAAAAAGGACATTTCATTTAATATGGTTTGTCAGGAAGAAATACTTATTAAAATGTCTTGGAATAAATGGAACACAAATGCTCAGAAAGGCCCAAATCACAGTTTTTATTCAATATATGAAATGGGAATTACTTCAGGTGTAAATAATTTGTCCTGACAAATTTGTTTCATTTGGGATGTGTGTGTCTGCTTGTCTGCCTGCCTGCCTGCAAGTATGAGATTGTATTTTTGGATCCCTGTGATGTTAACCCCTTGTTAGATTAGCACCTCTCATGAATCAGAGTTCTGACCCACAAGGATCCAGACCTCTAAGTCCCTTTTCACTGAAATGTTTGTACTTTTCTATAGGCAGTCTTCCAAACAGAAGAAGGCCATTCAAACTGCTATCCGCAAAAATAAAGAGGCAAATGCAGTGCTGGCCCGGCTGAACAGTGAACTCCAACAGCAGCTCAAGGTAAGGAATGCTTCCCAGAGTTGGATTACTAGGCTTTTCCCTGGCTTTTTTGTTTTGTTTGCTTTGTGCACTGGCTGACCATCCCTGTTGCCTCTTTGTTCTCAAACCCCTTTTGGAAGGTGGAGAGTTACTGTATTTAAGTTTCATGGGTTGGTTCTTGCATGCTTAGAGGAAGACTAGTAACTTTAATATGTAGGCTGCATATAATGTGTGAGTTAAAAGGAAAGAGAATCAGTTACAAAGGCTGTTTGAAGCATTGTTTGTTGTCTGAAGCTTCTGGGTAAGTGCTAATTGTTTAAGCCCTCTGAAAAATACTACACTTATATCAGTGGATGGACGTGGCCCTGATTTTATCAAAGGCCAGTCCCTCCCCTGGTACGTTGGAAATGGTTTCATCTCACCTTCTCAAAGACATCACCCCTGTGCTTATCATCTGTTTGTCTTCATCATTGATCTTCCCTGTATTAGTTTCCCAGGGTTGCCATAAAAGTACTACAAATTTGGTGGCTTAAAATAACAGAAATTTGTTCTCAGCTCTGGTGGCTAGAAGTCTGAAACGAGGGTGTTGCCAGAGCCATGCTCCCTCTGAAGGCTGTAGGGGAGAATCCTTCCTCGTCTCTTTGCAGCTTATGGTAGTTGCTGGCAGTCCTGGGCATTCCTTGGCTTATAGACATATCACTCCAATATCTGCTTCTACTGTCACATGGCATTTTTCCTATGTCTCTTGGTGTCTGTGTTTAAATTCCTCTTTTTACTGTATCCTCTTTTTTTAAAAATGAGAACTCTGGTCATTGAATTAAGGCCCACTCTAATCTACATGACCTTATTTTAACTTGATTATGTCTGCAAAGACCTTGTTTGCATATAAGGTCACATTTACAGATACTGGGGGTTAGGACTTGAACATAACCTTTGGGGGGACACGATTATACCCACTACATCCCCCGATTTTCTACTAGATCATTCCCCATCTAAACATAAACATTCTCCAGTATTGTCTGTCACCCTGGTCCAATTACTGCCCTATTTCTCTGGTCCCCTCCACAGCAGAGGTTCTTAGGAGTTGATTTCATTTACTGTCTTTACTTCCTCATCAGTGGTTTGCTCTCCCCTCCACGTCAGTGTGGCTTTGCTCTCCTCACTCACACCCCTCTTATGGCCAAATCCAGTCGGTTTGTTTTAATATTTGAATACTCAGAAGAATTCTACACGATTGACCATTCCCTCTTCTGAAATCACTTTTCTATCTGCTTCTTTTTTTTTTTTCCTTTTTGTCTTTTTTCGTGACCTGTAACGGGATCGCAACCCTCAGTGTCGCGCCCGTACTGCAACCGGCAACGGGATCGCAACCCTCGGTGTCGTGCCCGCACCACGCCCAACCAGCGAGCAGACCGGTCTCCATATGGGATCCGAACCCTCGGTGGGAGTGCCGCCGCGCTCCCAAGTGCCACACCCCACCGAGTGCGCCACCGGGCTGGCCCTTTTCTATCTGCTTCTGAGATACCATACTTTTCTGGCCCTTCTTCGCTGGTGCTTCCTCCTCAGCATTCTCTGCTGTCTCTTCCTTCCCTAACTTCTCTTTTATACCCATCCCCCCCATTTTGTCCCAATATTTTATCATGAAAATTTTCAAATGTACAGGAAAGTTGAGAGAATCATACAGTGAATACTTTTATAGCCACCACTTTGGTTCTACCACTAACATTTTACTGTACTCTACTTATTTTTTTCACATATCCATTTATCTATCTCTCTATCCAACAGTCCATCTTATTTTTGACATATTTTCAAGTAAATTGCAGACACCTGTACACTTCCCCTAATTTATTTTGGCATTCATATCATTAGCTAGAGTTCAATATATATGTATTTTTTACAGGTTTTTCTTATGATGTAAAATTTACATACAATGACTACACACATTCTAAGTGTACATTTGCTGAGTTTGTAACAAATGCAAATACTTATGGAACCCAAACCCCTTTGGAAATAGAGAATATTACCATCACCCCAGGAAACTCCTTCCTGCCCCTTCCCAGTCAATCCCTACCCTACTCACATAGAGGCAACCACTGTTTGCCCGCTCTATAACTTTATGTGAAAGGTGTCCTACAACATAGACTTTTGTGTAAAGCTTCTTTCACTTAGTATTATGTTTTGGGGATTTATTTATATTGTTGTGTGTATCGGTAATTCATTTCTTTTTATTGTTTAGTAGTAGTCCATTGAGTGAATATTCCACAATTTTGTTATCAGTTCTATTGATGGACACCTGAGCTGTTTCCAGGTGTTTTTTTTTTTTGTTTTTTTTTGTGGCAAATAAAACTGCACTTTTGAACAAGTCTTTGTATGGAAATATGTTCTCATTTCTCTTTAGTGGATACCTAGGATTAGGATTAGTAGGTAATATGGTAAGTGTATATGATTAGTTTTATTAGAAACTGCCAGACCATTTTCCAAAGTGATTGTAGCATTTTGCACTCCCTCCCCTAATGTATGAGAGATCCAATTATTCCACATCTTCACCAACATTTGGTGGTGTTATTCTTTTTAATTTCAGCCAGTCCCATGGTGATATAGTTTCTATCAACATCTCCTTGATGACTAACTATGTTGATCACTTTTTCTATATGATTATTTACCTTTCATATATCTTATTTTACAAGGTGTCTTTTCAAATGTTTTGGCCAGTTTTTGAATTGAGTTTTTAGTCTTTGTTTTGGTGTCTAGTTTAGGTAGGTGCTTTTTACATATCTCGGTTACCAGTTATTTGTCAGATATGTGTTTTGTGAGTGTTTTCTTCCAGTCTGTTTTGCCTGTTCATTTTCTTAACTTTATCTTTTCATGAGCAGAAGTTTCTTATTTTGGTGAAGTCTAAATTTATCATCTTTTTCTTTTATAGTTATTACTTTCTTCCTATATAAATAAATGTTGCCTAGCTCCAAATTATGAAGATATTCCTTTATGTTTTCTTCTTAAAAGCCTTATTGTTTTAGCTTTTACATTTAGGATTGTGATCCATCTTGAATCAAGTTTTATGAATGATGTGAGATTAAGGTCAATGTTCATTTTTTCCCATTTCAATGTCTAGTTAATCCAGCACCATTTGTTAAAAAAACTTTTCTTTCTCCCTTGGATTACCTTGGTGTCCTTGTCAGAAACCTAATGACCATGTAAGTGTGTTTATTTCCGGGTTCTAATTCTGTTCCATTTATCTATTTGTTGATCCTTCTGCCAGTACCACACAGTCTTGATGACTGTTGCCTTATACTAAGTCTTAAAATCAGGTAATGTAAATTTTTCAACCTGTTCTTGTTTTTTAAGATTTCACTGGATATTGCAGGTCCTTTGTTTTATATAAATTTTAGAATTGTTGTGTCGATTTCCACAAAATAGCTTGCTAGGATTATGATTGGATTAGCATTGTATCTATAGATCAATTTAGGGAGTATTGACATCTAAACAATGTTGAGTCTGCCAATCTGCAAGCAGACAATATCTCTACAGTTATGTAGGTCTTCTAAAATTCTTCTCAGTGGTTCTGAGTTTTGAGTATATTAGTCTTAACGTATCTTTTGCTAAAATTTATTCCTAATTTTTTTTGTGTGACACTATTGCAAATTTAATTTTTTTAAAATTTCACTTTCTGATTGAGTTTATAGAGGTCACAGAAGATAAGTTTAGCACACAAAAAATCAGTAGTTTTCCTGTGTATAAGTAATAAACAATTGGTAATGAAAATTTAAAAAGTATATTATTTCGGGCCGGCCCGGTGGCGCACTGGATAGTGCGCCGCTTGGGAAGTGCGGCGGCGCTCCCGCCCGAGGGTTCGGATCCCACATACAGACCGGTTCCCGCTC